GGGATGAAACTGCTCAGTTTTAGACATGACATCACATTCTCCTGTTTTAGGTTTCCCACACTAATTTTGTGCTTTTCAGCACCTGGCATACAGTAGGCATTTAATAATCTGCAGACATTGCCTGGAATTGCCCTTCCACCTTTCTTCACTTGGCAAGCTCAGTTTAGAAGTCCCAGATCCAGGAAGTCTGCCCTGAACCCTCAGGTGGGCTACATTCTCCTCTACAGCATCCTGTGTACTCATTTCATGGTACTTACCATGTACTGCTAAAACTGTTCATGTGCCCTTCTCCCTTGCTAGACTATTATTAGCTCTTCTAAAGAGAGGCCAGGTCTAAGGCATCCCCAATGCCTAGCACATGGTAGGTGCTCAGAAGTGCTCAGCTCTTAAGTAAGGCCAGTCGCCTGTTCCAGCTGGGAACTGTATCCCAAACATCTCCCAAGACCCACAGCCCTTTCCAATGAAAACCAGGTTTCCAGAAGGTTTCAACAGTCAGCTGAACCCACTTCCTGCTCCTTCTCCTGAGCTAAACCTTGATTTTTGCCCCCCGGCAACTGGACAACAGGTGTTTCTTGAAATTCTTGTTCATCAAATCTACTGTTTTGTGCTTTCAAGGCACTAGTGTGGTCTCCACCTGAACTTGGTCACCAAGGGTGGTAAAGACAGCAAATGCTGCACCTCATTTGATAAATCAGGAACTCAGTGACCCAGGAGCCTGGGGTCCTGTAAGGGGGTCGCTAATGACCTGGGCAGTAAGAGTAAATGAACAGCCTCTGGTGTGCAATCTGCAATAGCTGTACCATTTTGTTTTTGTGCCATTCAGACCTTAGCTTAAGAAGCTAAGAATGATGTACTCTGCCAGTTCCTTCCTGTGCCTTTAGAGCGTAACTGTCCCTAGAGGCTAACATGGTTCCCCTGGGGTTACCTAGAGGAGCCCAGCAGTTTAGAAGGAACTAGGCGGCAACCATCCCACGAGTCACTGAAGGGCCAGGGCTGCATCCTCTGGCCCAGGGTCAGATGGGGCCAGGAGCATGTCTGGCTTTACTGCACTCTCAGAAACCACCGGGCTGACTGCTGGGCAAACCCAGGGGCTAGAAAAGACAATGCGCTCTGTCAGCATACCCTACTGGCCCATCACTCCACCTGGGGAGGCAAGACCTCACGGGAGGGTTCTGTGGGTACTCATCATCCTGCTTTGCCCACCTGCATGTGGCCCAAAGAAGTCTCACTGGGTGGGGGTGTCCCCCCTTTTCTGGGTAGAGGCAGAAGGCTGTTCCTTCCCAGTTTTGGAGAACGGACTTAAATACCATTGACTCAAAGTGCTAGGAGGACAGTCTAAGCAGAGGGTAGTGACAATAAGTCTGATGGAAAGCTCATGGGCCCATGATGGCACATGTTGGCACACCAGTGGCTCCCAGACACCTGAAAATCAGTTCTGTGGTCCCTGCCTGGAATGGAAGCCCTGAACTTCCCCCATGCTCCTCAAGCTTCTCTGAATCTGTAGTGCCCACTTCCTCTCAACTGCCCTTACATTGCTGCTTAGCTATTTCACATGAGTTTGCTTCGTCCTCTCCACTGTTAACTGAACTTCTAGAAGGAGGGGCCTTGTCTTACACATTTCTTTCACGTTCTCCTCAGGATCCAGCACAGTGCTGAGCACAAAATAGGGACTCCATGCTGCATTTTGTGTATTAAATTCCGAGGCCAAGCACCCACCCACAACTCTACCGTACCAATACAAGAGTTCCCCAGAAGAGCTTGCTTCCTTTAAATGTCATGTCTTAGCTATGTACTCTCTAACAAAATGTGTTTCTACTTTTGGGGCGGGGGGGTCTGCTTTTAACCTGTTTGTAGGACTTTATGAAGAACTCAGAAATATATCCTCTTGGCAGAGCAAGGGGTCTGAGGGGAAGTCCTCAGGACAGAAAGTGCCCTCAGCAACCATTACCCAGCTTGCCCTCAGCCCAGCTGCCTGTCCTGATGGCTGTGATGTCTCTTGGCCTCTATGTGGAGAAGGTGAGGAATCTCAAGGGGAGGAGGAAAAAGGAACAAACATTGCAAGGAAAAAGCGTAATCAGGTTTTGGGGATGGATTTTATTTGGGCTTCTCACAGTGGTTAGAGCCACTCTGTCTTCAGAACAATCACAGCACAGGAAATGCGTCACCGAGACTGCCCAGAAAAGTCTGACCAGCTGAATCTTATTGCTTAAAATACACATATTCACAATAACTGACAAAGGGTGATGTGCCTCACACAGGAATGTGTTAGCAATTGCAAATCTTCCAACTGTAGCACCAAACCCTTGACCCATCCCTTTCTTCTCACTTGCCTGGAACACCAGGCTCCCTCCATCTCCCGGGCCCCTCAAGGGTCCTTCAGCTCCCTACTCCCGTGCGTCCATGTGCAGGGCAGCCTCAGGCAGCAGGGGCCAGGCGGTGACACAGGACTTGAGTCCAGCTCCACCCGCCGCATTTTCGTTTTCTTCTTCTCGTGCCTTTAGGGTCAGACACTGCAGTGAACCCAGCAGTAAACCTGCACACCAGTTCCCCACTCTGACTGGAGAAGGAATCTTCAGAGGGCCAGAATCCACCCCTTTGACCAGTTAACTCAAACAGGGTTCATTTTGGTAAAACTTGACAGCCTTTGAGACACTTCAGTGAGTTGTTTGGGATGAAAAAAAAAGGCGTCAGGAAAGGCATCTGAGGGGGGCTGCAGGCACACTCCTGCCTGCTCTGGCCACATGTCGGCCATGTGCTGGACCTCAGCAGAAGGAGGTAAGCCCTATGGCACTGTGGTGGCCGTCAAAGCCTCCTGGCAATTCCGGGTAGGGCCGATGCCTGGGCCAAAGGCAGTCTGAGCTTGACCCTGAAGATCCAGTCAAGCTTCAGTCTGAGGTTCCACCTTGGCCCTCTGTCCTGAAGGGGTTTGGACCCCCCGGGGGCCGATGCCGAGGGCTAGGAGCAGCCGGGGAAAGCGGACAGGTTCAGAGCACTTTCCGCTTACAGGGAACAGGACACAGGCCTCCGCGTGTCCATGGAGCAATGTGCAAATTGCAGTGAGGGGTAGAGTAAAACCTCTACTCGGAGCACAGTATCTCTGGCAAACGTGGGGACTGCCGTCAACAGCACTGCTGAGTACACCCGAGTGCACAGTCAGACATTTGCTCAGTAAACAGTAAATGCGTAAAATAAATTACCTTGAGAGGGCTGCACCTGCTCCAAACGCATGGTAATGTGAGCAGAGTGGCTGCCGTTCAAAGTATATTCACAGGAAAACAGGGCTGGGGGCTCACACACAATGGACAGACACACACAGGTTACTGGAAAAGTCATCGTATACAGACTGCACTTGTTCAACATGGATTTTGGTTTTGTGGACTCCAAATGCAGACACTTGTTCACCTCACAGCCTCAGATTTGTCTATTTTGTGTGTATGTGTTTATATACATATACATATATATACACATACACATGGATATGTGTGTATTCATATATATATATACAGATATATACCTTCCTTTCTTAACCAAAACGTCAGCGCCTACTCTGAATATCATCATTCAAGAGTGGGGGAAGATCCAAGCTACTCATGTGAACAGGGCTGGGCAGGGAATGTTAGTTTCGGCAGTTTGCTTTCCCCATTCAGATTATTCCTATCAAAGCTCACCTGGTTTCTGAAGCAAAACTACAGGAATTAAGGACCCTGTGGTCCTTCAGGAGGGCTGCCTCCACCCTCCTATCTGGGCCACTGAGACTCTTTACATAGGCTACAAAAATTAGATATCCCACTCAAGGGGCAGTGCAGAGCAGGCAAAGGGCATGAAAACCACAGATAACCAAGGCATTTTTTTCCCAAGTGGTCAGTTTGAAAAAACAAATAAACAAAACAACTTATTCAGAATCAAGAGAAAATACTGTATGAGAGCCAGACTGTGGGCCTGCCCTTTCTCAGGACCCACAGCCTCATTTGTTCATAGAGAACAGTGAGACGTGAAGGCCGGCAGATGTGTGTCTGGGACGGGAGGAGGGCACTGGTCACCCGTTGGCGCAGATCAAAGGGCAGAGACAATGGGAAGTTGCACCTCCATCCGCTGCCACAGTGCAGGGCCTCCTGCTCACCCACAGGAGTTCCAGAGACAGCCTCCACCCAAGCCTGCACATTATGTATCTCCTGGCTCAACTATAGCCAGGCTCTTTGAAGGCCAAGTTGAGAAAAAGACACAAACTTCCCTTTTCCAAAACAGAATTCTTGCCTGCCCACTGGTCAAGTTCTTGTTTTCAGCTTGCTTTTGTTGTTGTTTTTTCTTTAAAAAAACAAAACAAAACCAAAGGCAGGTATATAGTTTTCCAGCCTGGAACCAGCCTGAGGCCAGCCAGACCCTGCTGGGGAGAGGCCCCTCTAGTACACCCTGGCACCGTGAGCTCGTCACCTGGAATTTGAGAGCACAAGTCTCTTACCAACCCACCACATTGCCAGTCAACTCTCCTCCCCACCACAGCAGAACACAATTCTGGCACCACAGATGCTGGTAGCAAGGGGCGACAATCCCTGGGCCTCTGTGAACTTCCTTCTTCATCCAGGGCTGAGACCAGCCACCTCTTCTGGACAGAGATGCAGCGAGGTTCTCATAAACTAACACAGGAAAGCACATCCATTCCGTCACCAAGAGTCACCTCAGGGCACGGTCTCATCCCCTCCTTGGGGGCTTCTGAACACACATCTCTCTGACCTAAGCAGGTAGTGAGATGTGACTTTAAAAGAGGTAAAGGGGAATGGGGTGGGGTATGAGGAATGAGTCACAGGATAACTTCTCAGCCCTCCACAGCACTGTGCTTCTGTCGGGGGGCAAGCCACCCACACCCCAAACTGTACCTGGAGATGCAGGAAAATGCAGGAGCAGGGGGTGGGGGGGAAGGAACACAGTTACTTAATGCTTCTCACATGGTTCTCCCCTACCCTGGTTGCATCGCCAAGTTCTCAGGTGTAGCAGGACCTGCTCTAGCTGGGGGAGCTGCTGCTCTGGGAGTTTGGGGAGTCCTGCTCATTGATGGTGTTCAGCAGCAGGCAGGCAGGCGGCCTTGGCAGGTGTGGATGCCCGGGCTCCTGGGCCTGCTCCTCGGAGGGCTGGCAGAGACCTTCCTCCTCGTCGCCAGGTGGCCGCACGTTGCAGCTGTCGCAGAAGTCCAGGGGCCCGTCCAGAGCATCGTCAATGAGCGCGTTGAATTCTTTGAGGTCGTCGTCATGGTGGCCCCGGTTGCACACACACACCTCGATGCCTGAGTCACCCGTGAAGCGGCGGTGTCTGCCAGGTGTCTTGTCTTTGTTGTCAGGGAGGGCGCTGCCCTGCTCGGAGCTGTACTCTTTCAGAAGCTCCTCCTTACATTCGGAATCCTTGTCCAGGAAGGCCGTGGGGTCCACCTCCCCCAGGCCAGCCACAGAGCCACTGGGCTCCATGCCAGGGGTTTTGGTGGCTGCTGGGTCTGCTGGCACGTCGGAGAGCTCAGGGTCAGTGATGCTTGGGGGTCGCGTGCTACTTCTGCTGGGCCCGGACAAGGGGCTGCTCTGTGCCCCCTGGGAGCCCCTGGTGGGGTCGGTGCCTGGGGGGCTGCTGCCTGCAGAGCCACACGGTGCAGGTAGCTGCTGCTGCTGCTGCTGCTGCTGGAGCTGGAAGGCACTGTATGGTGGGGGAGGAGTTGGAGGTCGGTTCACCACTTCCTCATAAGGAGGTAGTAAATAGTTTGGCAAAAACCCTAAAACAGGGAGGTAGGGAGGAGAAATTACTGCACTGGCAATTGTTACAGGACAGACTGCAGGCTCACACATCCCACTCCCAGAATACCCACCAAGTTACGACTCTCAGGTGCAGGCAGGACAAGGGGCTGTGAGCGACTTTACAGAGAAAGAGGGACAGACTAAGAGTAACCTATGCTAGCTTCTTGAAATCTGAGAGCCCCTAAAGCTGCTTCACAGGCAAGGACATCTGCTCATCTGGAGTTAAGGCAGAGGTTCAGCAAATGTGGTGAATGACCAAGAGAGTTTTGTCTGGAAGGGACCTGTTTCCACATGCACCCAAGTCTCGTGTTTCTGGCTCAGATTGTGTCTGCCATCTGTATCCCCTAGGCCTCAGGGTTAGGGGCCCTAACTTAAAACATCCTGACACTTCTTTCTCCCACTTTGCACCCACTTCCCCCATTTTCCAGATGTATATCATGAAGAGAGCCTTTCTCTGGGAGGCTGGAAATCTGTGTTGCCTCTCACCCTAGTATGGCTGGAAAGACACACCAAACCCCATCCTGCTTCAGACCAAGAGCAGGTGGCTTACCAACGCAGGATGAGGGACCTGTCATCAAGGCTTATTAGGAATATGGCAGGTGAATAATCTTCTGCTTTGAGATACAGATGATCTAATTATAACAGTGACTGCTAGCATTTATTGAGCACTTACTGTACACTGGCCACTGTGTATAACTCTTCTAGATGAAGAATTCCAAATTCACAACTATTTTATTCTGTGGAACACACTGCAGAATGCCTTTAGACAGGCTGCACCACTGGGCCTCCACCAATCCTTTGAGAGATCAATGGAAGGAACTCCAGGGAAGTCAGATGAGTGTGCCCTTCAGTGAATCACCGAGTTTCTTGGTTCTCAGGAAATCCCAATATCACCTCCCACTCCTGCCCTTTTTATGGCAGCCTCTGCTGAGGCATATCACATGGCAGGAAGCAAAATGGAGATTTCAAGGCCACTGACCTCAAAATCTCAACTCATTCACAACATACACCATTCAACAATCCACCGAACAAAAATCTAAAGGAGCAGAGATGAAGTGAGAACCTAGCTAGTGTGGAATGGAACAGCCCAGGGGCTACATCCACAGCCCTGGCTTCTCCGTGCTCAAGGTGCACACCCTCTTGTTCCCACTTCTGAGACCCTGCTCTAGGCATAAAGAGGCCAACCCCTGAGGCCCACAGTTTATGTGTCCTACCCGCCCCCTGCCCCCCACCCCCACCCCTCCACTCCCTCTGAGAGTGGGTTTGGTGGCTTCTGGAGTACGTACTGAAATAAAATGGCAGCGCTGAGTAATTGTGGGCTTCCCGGTAGGCAATCAGGTTGATTTCATGCTGCCGCTGCTGGGCCTGAAGGCGGTGCTTGGCTCGGCGGTGGTGGCAGACGCAGCAGCAGCTCAGGATGATAATGATGGTCCACACGAGCCAGAACCCTGGGAGGGGAGGAGAGACAGAGAGGGGCGGGCACACCATGAATGCCAGTGGGACACCAGCTGGAGGGGCCGCTCGCAGCACAGGAAGACTCTGGGATGGTGCACACCTTGCTGAAGCTAGCTAGTACTGTTAAGCCTTGCCTGGCAGTTACATTCAGAACCTGTATTCAATTTTCATAAATGTTTGTACCAGAGTGAAAGATATGTGGGGTGGAAGAGGGCAGGAATGTTAAGAAAAGTGACCCTTAAAGAGGTTACTCACTCCGGGGTGCCTCCAGGCTCTTGGGGGAGGGGAGGAGTGCTGAGGCGTTGATCTAGCACCCCAGGTTCTCCTATATTTTAGGTCTGGTGGGCATCAAGTATGCTTACCTTTCAGGAAAATGTACCCTTCCTTTCTTAAGAGATCTGAGAAAATGCTTCAGCCCCTCTTGGTGCCCATCTCCCCTCCCCAGCCCTGGCCCAAAACGATGGCTCCCAGGCTCCCCACCAAGAATGAAGAGCCCCTCAGAATCCCCACAACTCAGCAGAGTTGTTGCAGTTGCAGAGGACCCCAGAGGGCGTGCCTGATAAAAGTTTTTTCCTCTGCCACTTTGCCTCCATCATACAGAAGTCACGGAAGTTAGAGGTGGAAAAATTCTAATTGCCTCAGCCCATTACTTCCCTGGAGAGTATAAACAACTTCCTCTGCTCTTGACATGAGCTGGTACAATTCCATCTCACATCATCACAAACAATCCACTCCCCCACCTCCCTCGCTCTGCCTGCAGCTGGCTTAGACTGGGGAGCATCAGTGGTCTCCCCTTCTTCCTCCTGGCTCCAGAGAGGAGTAGAGGAGAAGTGCACAGCTCTTTTCCCCAGGTGGACTGTTCCTTCTCATTTCTCACTGATGTTCTCTTTGATCATATTTAGAAAATCCTGGCAAACCCTAATATAAGACCCCCTCTTCAATCTTCACATGTATACAGAAAAGGCTTCTAATTTGTTTAATAAATAAGCAATTTTGCTTTAAAAAATAAATAGAGATTAGAGGGGAAAAAAAGATTGGAAAGAAAAACACAAAAATAGTGACATCTTTAAGTTGTGGGATTATGAGAAGAAATTTTAATTTCTCCCAATTTTTATTTTATTCTTTCAAATTATAAAACTGGAAACAAAGTAAGTTAAAACTTAAAAATATCTGTGACTAATTTTTATTTTTTTCTGGCTTAAAAAAAATTAATACATTTCTGAATAGGTTTGCTGCTGCTGCTAAGTCACTTCAGTCGTGTCCGACTCTGTGCGACCCCATAGACAGCAGCCTACCAGGCTCCCCCGTCCCTGGGATTCTCCAGGCAAGAAAACTGAAGTGGGTTGCCATTTCCTTCTCCAATGCATGAAAGTGAAAAATGAAAGTGAAGTCGCTCAGTCGTGTCCGACTCTGTGCGACCCCATAGACAGCAGCCCACCAGGCTCCTCCGTCCATGGGATTTTCCAGGCAAGAGGACTGGAGTGGGGTGCCATTGCCTTCTCCGCTCTCCTCATTAGCTGCATTCATAAGGCCCCTTCTCCAGTGTGAACTCTCTGATAACCAAATAGACCTGATCCACTATTAAGATTTCCCACATTCACTGCACTCAAAAGGCCTTTCTCCACTGTGAACTCTGATGATACCAAAGGCCAGAGCTAGCAGTAAAAGATTTCCCACATTTACTGCACTCATAAGGTTTTTCTCCACTGTGAACTCTCTGGTGATACCGAAGAATAGGTTTAAAATTTTTAAAAATAAATAAATAAATAAAAATAAAAATTCCTCTGGGAATGTCTTCATATAATGAAAATGATATGAATCATTAAAAATTATCCACAGAATACTATTTTTGACATAAAAAGACATTTCAAATACTAAATGGGAAAAAAAAAGCAATTACAAAACAGCATAAAATAGGCCCCCAACTTTTGCTTAAAAAAATGTATAAATATTCAGATGGATGATCAGGAAGTTAATTATGAGATTATTCCTGGACAATAGGATGTTCTGTTACCAGTTCTTATTTTTTGCTTATCTTCAATTCCTGAATTTTCTAAGATGAACATGTACTTCTTTGGAAAAAAAATACTTTTTCTCAATTAAAATAAATCTGAGGAATAATTTTAAGGTGCGTTTTTATTATATGAGACTAGATTATATTATTTTTCATTTGCTCCCTATTTCTGAGGAACTTCAATTTTTTCCATTACAAATGTTACATATTTTTTTAATCATCTGCTCTGTAACTATAAGTTTGTGTTTAGAATGTTAAGTGTTTCTGTATCTCTTATCAGAATAAATATTAAAAAAAAAAGCCTCCTGGTAAACAATTACAAATGAATAAACCCCTGATTTTTTTTCCTGTTTGTACCAGAACACAATATTTTGAAAGAGCCCACTGAAATTTAGGGTGTGGCCTCTGGCAACACCAAGGGTGTTTCTTTCTGTCCCCCAGGGGTGTCCTCTCTGAATCTACCCACAGTGCCACCACTATGGGGTAAGACAGGACAGCAGTACTGCCTTCCAGCCCTGGCAGGGTGCCAACACCACTGTGTGACACCTTGCTGCTTTTAGCACATGTCACAGTTCAACAGAAACTTTTGCCGAGGGCTGGTGACAGAACAGGCGGAGGACAATGAGGAGAGGATCTTTCCCCCTTTTCCCATAAGCAGACAAAAAAAACCTCATTCCTAACCAGAGGACACAGACATAAGTTTAAGTCCGAAGTCTTCCCTGTGGTCCTTCCCAGAGTCACAGCGGACGTTTGCTTAATTTAACTTACACTTCTCTCGTTTCAATACTGGCTGACTGGATACTGTTAGTGGAGCCCTCAGGGAGGGTTCTGAGGCCGGAAAGGAGCTCCGGGAGTGAAGTGGTTCCCACTGCTGCCCTGTAATCTCTTGCCTCTATGGTCCGGTCAGCTCCCAGCCTTGCAGGGTTAGGGTTAGGTCACACCCAAGGCAGGCAGCATAAGCAAGCAAAATGCACTCTGCTGAAGAGCCTGTCTCTGAGAACATTTTAGAAAAAGAAAAAAAGAAAGTCGCTCAGTCGTGTCTGACTCTTTGTGACCCTGTGGACCGTAGCCTACCAGGCTCCTCCGTTCTCCAGGCGACAATACTGGAGTGAGTTGCCATTTCCTTCTTCAGGGGATCTTCCCAACCCAGGGACTGAACCCGGGTCTCCCACATTGCAGGCAGACGCTTTACCATCTGAGCCACCAGGGAATATTTTAGAGTCAAGTCTAAAAGATTCTGGGCTAACCACTTTTTTATATTACCTACATTAACTTGCCCAGCATCATATCACAATCCTTTATATGCTTCTGTGTTACTTCATAATTTTAAAAGTACATTCTCTCATGAGATAATAAGCACCTAACTCTACTTTTTGCCTCCTGTCACTTTTCCAATTGTTTCTTACCTACAGGTAAATTAAATTAACTTTAAACCTTAGTGCTGCACTATATATGATCTAAGGCAAAACTTCTTAGCCATTATAGCAGAGATTTTTTTCATGGTTTTCATGTTGGCCAAATATTTCTGGTTCTCCCCCTTCCTGGCATGTGGGTAGGCTTGAATTTCTGGCCCCCTTATGATTAGGTGACATTTTGGGGCTACTTCTAACTAACCAATTGAGACTGGAAGCAACAGATGTCACTAAGAGGCCAGAACATTTCTTGCTAATGTGAGACCCTCTGTTAGATTCCCTTCTGCTATAGTTAAGTCATAACATTCTAGACTGACTTCAGGGTCAGTCTGGCCCCAGAGGATAAAGAAGTAGGAACAAAGCTCCCATCCAACCTGGGATGGACACAGAGTGTGAGCAATAAACCTGTTGCTTTAGGACCTCCAGGAGTTTGGATTTGTTTATTACTGAGCATAACCTCTAGCCTATCCAGACTGATCCTTTATAGGCTTTTCTGGAGGAGGAGATTGCAAATGTTCTTCAGATTCTTAAGAGAATCCTTGTTCCAAAAAAAGCCTAAGTTCCACTGAACTGGAAGTATAATAGAAAAAGAGGTCTTTTTTTTAAAAAAAAAAAAAGGAAAAATGAGGCAGGGTGGGAGACTGGGGGGAAGAAATGAGACAAGTAGAAGGCATACCTTTGGCAGGGTTACTGCAGTCATATCTAACAGCACCAGAAAACTCATATGTTTACTGAAATTCCATCAGTTGCTTCTTTTCACGTGGTAGCATGGGTAGAAAAACTCTCCCTACTATGTACCATTTGTATGATATTATATAAAGTTTCAAACTGAGTTCCAATTTCTGCATTTCTAATAGAGTATCACAAAGTAATAGTAAGGATCAAAACTAGGGGAAAACTGATGTGGGAGCAGAAAGGGCCAAGTGGGATAACGGGGCATTAGCACAGGTCCAGAAAAGCCACCTAAGGACTGGTCCCACTTGATGGAGTTAATGTGGGAAGACAAGGCATTCTTGTCTGACCCTCACACAACAGATCCTACTGGATTGTAGTCAAAGCCATGTCCCCACAGCTTTAAAAGGGATACCATCTAGACTAGTCCCTATGGAGTTGTGCAAACTTTTGATCTTTTCACTAGTTTTCACAAACGAGGAAAGTTTTTTAAAAGGAAAACCTAAAGAAAGAGCCACATCAAGACAGAAGCATGCCCTCCTCCCCAAACACATATCTACCCACAGATTACATTCTCCAGTGACCTTTGAAAGCTGTGACCTCATTGTGGGGCACGCTTGTCATGCTAAGCAAAATGGAAAACATGTTTTTAAAAACAATCACAGTCCAATGTAGGAACTGAGTCATGTGCCCCAGAGTTCACTATAAACTTGGGAAAACACCACTCCCCAACTGGCAGGAAATTCCTCATTAGGAAGCCAAAGTATACTGTCCACTAGCTCTCCTCCTACACCACAGGATGGTGGGTATCCTCCTTAGCCCTTGACAGCTCTTAGCAGGAGATCCTTTTCCACTGTGGAAAAGGCCTGAATTTGGGAAATGAAGACTTCAGAGGACTTGCAACTTCATCAGAAAGACTGGACAAGTTTCATATCCTAGCTTTGTGACCCTGGTCATTTTGCCTTGACTTCCCTCATCTGTAAAATGGGGAGAATAACAGTTTCTACCTACTTGGTCATTGTGAGGATAACTGAGTTAATGTCCACATGCAGAGTTCTCAAACCTGCACATTCGAGACCCTCCACGACCTGGGCCCACCACCTTCTGGCCTGGCACTTAAGAGTTCTGGAAGGGGGTGGCTTTGTGTAAGGCACACTGACCCCACGACTCAACTGCAACTGACTGACTGGTGACTGAACACCCCAGGTCCTGAGAAATGGGCTATGCATATCTGGCAGGGTTGTCCTTAGAGCAGGTTGAACTGACGTGTGTGCAGACTTTACTGGGTGCCCAGCCCACGGCAGAGTTTTATGCACACCAGCACCCTTGCCTCCCCTGAGTGAACCGCACGATCCCAGGGAAAAGGTTAATGTGATGCATATTCTCTTCTTTCCCATGGAGCCTTGACCTATGGTGTCTGGCGTTCCTCTGCCTGAGAAGTCATCCTATCCTTCTCCATGTGTTTAAATCCTATCCACCCTTTCTTTAAGGCCTACCTCAAATGCCACCACCTCCATGCAGCCTGCCTGAATCCTGTCCAGCAAAAGCAAATTCTCCTAGCACATACACAGTGGTCCTGGCACACACACTCCACTTTCTACTTTGCATTACTAGTGAGGCACGTTGTATTATCTCCTCTCTCTGCTTAGAGCCCTTCTTGATGACAAGGATTCTGTCTCCCCACATGCTTTAACACAGAAGAGGCCACCTCATCCAGTAGAAACTGGGTTAGAATTGCAAATTCTCAGGTCCTTCTCAGACCTACTGAATCAAAAACTCTGGGACTTGGGCCCAGAAATCCACGCTTTAATAAGTCCTCCAGGAAACGCAGACGCTTGCCAAAGTCTGAAACCACTGGAATAAGAGTTTGCTGAATAAACGACTGAATGATGATTGAAAGTACAAGAGCCATAAAAACGCATGGGATGATAAGGCCAGGTCTTAAAGCCTCAACCATGGCAGTGGTAAAACAGGACTTTCACTCTTGAACCGATGCAGACCCACTAATGACAATGGCCTACATTACAAGAGATTAAAAAGACAGGGGAGAAAAGGGTGCTGGTTGAAGTTTTAGGTCTGTGTGTGTCTATGTGCTTGTGTGTCTGTGCAAAGTGTGCTCTGCATGTGTGTGCATGCCAGTCCTCAGCACACAGGATAATCTGTCTTAGCAGTGGTATGAAGGCTGACGGAAATGGCATTTATTTTTCCCTGAGGCCTTCCCGGTAGGCAACTATGGCTAAAAAGGTACTCTGTCTGACAAAAACTCTGCCAAGGGTTTCCTGGCTGAGATCTTTTCCTTCCAAAGGAAAAAGACTAAAAGAATAACCCAAAGCCCATTATTATCACAACTCAGGCAGAGTTCAGAGGCAATTAGAGAGAACAGGGTTCAAAGTGACCAGAAGAACAGTTCCGATGAGAACTGAAAGGGCTCATTCCTACACTTGACCTCCCTCCTCTCCACACCAGGCCAAGGCCAGGCCCTCAAGAAGGACAAAAACCAAAGAATTCCGGAGAGAGGTGCAACGCTCACTGGGCATCTTCTGACCAAAAAGCCATTGCTGGGCACAAAGAGGAAGTCAGGCTTTTAGTCTCTTGAGAACTTGGCAAGCACGGGCCATCTTGTACGGGGGTGAGTCTTTCCTCCCCAGACAGACTAGTCTCTGTCTGGTCTCCTCCTTTCCCCAGCTGACCACGACCGGAGGAGTGATTAGCCACTGTGCAGCTCTTCCCCTGGCTTTCTTTAGGCCCGTGGGGTGAAGTGCCTGGTTCCCAGAACACCTGCCTCCCTGACACCTATGTCTCGCATCTCCCTGTCCCCATCACCCCACCTCCAGCCTTGGCATTCATGACCCAACTCTGGTGGCTACTGAGTCTGTTCTGCCAGTGCCTCAGGAGGCTCTGTCAATCTGAGATGGGGGCCATCAGCAACTCCATCCTTTCCGCAACTGATGCTGCCTGGGCCGGGCCCCAGGAAAACAAACCGCAGCCTCTGTGGCTTCTTGGCAGCCCAGCTTTGACTTTTGTTTTAATAAGGGGTGAGAGGGAGAATTTGAACCCTGTGGTTATCTGCATTTTAAAACATTTAAACAGTCTGTCCACCTGCCTGGCACTTTGTGTTTCTCCAGTGAGTCCCTCAGCCCCACCCCGTCTAAAACAGCACCAACAACTCCGGGCCTGCCTGTGCTGCTGCTGCTTATGTACTTGGAGGACTGATGGGGACATTTTGAACCCTGTTCTCTCCTTGGGAAAGAGTCTGCCCTTAATCACCCCTGAAATTCCTCAGAGAGGCAGAAGAGCCAGTCATCAAAAGGGAAGTATGAGGGTGAGGTCTTCTTTGTAGGAACCACTCCCACTGACTATAAGATGCGTTTGCATTCAGAGGGAGAAGCTTCCCAGCTAAGAGTCTAATTTCCTTTCCATTTTAAACAAGAGCCTTTCTAGCTGCTTTCTGACATATACCTGATGTGGGGTGAATGGGGAGATAGAAAGGAGAAGGGGGAAAAGGGCAGATGTGGAGGTGACAGCAAGGATGTGAAGCAAGCGGCAAAGGTTGTCTCCACATGGAGGAAGTGATGGGGCTTATAATTCTCTGGGAAAACAATCTACTGCCTCCTCTATCAACAGACAGCTTGAGAACCACTGTAGTGCTGGTCACCTGGAACGCTCTGCCCTCAGGACTCTCCCATCCTCCCCTCCCCTTCTGTGTCCAGTATCCCCAGTGTCTCATCTGAGTTTCAGGAAGATCAGAGTACAAAGTGCTTCAGTGAACTCTCTAAGTGTAGGTCACTCCTTGAAGCCCAGGGCAATGTCCCCATCCTTCTACAGCTCAGGAAGGTGCAAGTGGTCCTGGCCCCCACCGAGCCAGTGACAAGGTGGTGGAGCTGACAACTTAAAATGGCTTTGAGCTGACAGTAACAGGTTAGGTGGACTGACAGGCTTCCAGACACTTCACTTTGCGATCTGGGGAAGGAACAAAGGGAGCTGAACCTCTATTCCTTCTCTCCAGGAGGGCTCTGTTGGCCACAACCCAAGAAAAGATTATCCCACTGAGAAGGGACCCTCAGAAACAGAGGCAGCTCCTTGAGGATCTATGGCGATCTGGGAAGTCCTGGTAGTTTTTTTTTTTTTTTTTTAAACAAGAAAATGGCAATACAGCTATCCAGAGAGCAGCCTGGCATCCACAGCAGCTTGGCTGCTGCAAACCTCTCTTTGCAAAGATGGGGAGTCTGGGCTGACCCGTGAGAGGGCATAGGTTGTTGCCACTGCTTGGCACACCCTGGAGAGGGCATCCAAGAGAATCCCACTCAGAAGCTTCTGCAGCAGGTCTGCTAACCATGGCCTCCTAGGAGGGCTCAGACCATATTTTCCAGTCTTTAGCTCACGGTGTCCAAAGAGCACCAGAGCGCTCCTCCTCTACAGAGGGATTGCTTCCAAAACCTAGCAGAGTCTGCTCGCCAACACTGCCACCAACAGAGTAGCAACAAGGCTGACCAGCTTTCAGTTTCCCAATGAGCAGAGGTGGTGAACTTAGACGCTTGGACACCAAGAAACCCCCAGGCAAGGACTTACACCAGAGTTCATAGTAGTAGTTGCAGCACTGAGACTGTCCACAGCAGTGTCCTGTGTCACAGATGTAGCTTTGATTGTTGGTACCCACGCAGGTTTCCTTATCCTAAAAGAAATTTTAAAAACTTTTAGCACATTAAATTATAGCTTTTAAATACCACTTTTCTTCTCATAGGGCTTCCCTGGTGGCTCAGTTGGTAAAGAATCTGCCTATAATGCAGGAGACCCAGGTTCAATCCCTAGGTCAGGAAGACTCCTTGGAGAAGGGAATGGCAAACCACTTCAGTATTTTTGCCTGGAGAATTCCACGCACAGAGGAACCTGGCAGGCTACAGTCCATGGGGTCACAAAGAGTCGGACATGACTGAGCAACTAACACTTCCTTCTTATCCCCCTCTTTCTGGTCGCCTATCCATCCTCCACTAAACAGTCTGTACCAATATTTACTCCATTGAGAAAAAAAAAAGAACCACACAACAACAGAAGATTTAAGAAAAATAATATGGTTTATTAAAGAGGGAAGAAGATTCAGTACACAAAGCCAAGTGGTAAGAGCAGAGTTCTCAGAGAGAAAAACAGAGCAGAGTCCTCCTTGATTTATGTCCAAGCCGAAGCACTCCATGTTCTGATGCTAATTTAGCCCGTAAGACGGTCATGATTCTCCTGTAACTGGCTGTACATTTTAAATAAAACCAGCTTCTTCGTGAAAGTTCCTGGAATAAGTAAGGTAGTATGTATTCTAGGATTAGCATCTGGTCAGCCAGTCCATCCTCCCTTTAAAACACATGATCTCCAAGGTTAATTACAGCGTGATTCAGAAGAAGGCTAAAAAACCTGCTACTAAAATTCTTCAGTCTTAAGAAAAAGAGTGACTTGCTTAGGTGACCTAATGCAGTTTCAATTTGCTTCATCTTTTTTTGCTTATCAGATGATCTCTTAATAGTCGTGACTGGATCTAGAATTTACACTGTCCCTTCTCAGGGACAGCTATAGAAAGGGCACTGCTGAGTAACCATCTAGCATTTTGCCAAATTCTATTCACAGCACTGGTGGATGGGAATAGAGGTAGAAAGGTTTCTTTTATATTTCACAGTTAAGATATGAAACTTAAATAAACTTCAGTAAGTTTACAACTAAGCCTTATAACTTATTTATGAATAAGTTTATAATAACTTAAATAAACTTCGGCCTCCAATGTCCTCTGGGCCACAGTGCATGAGACCTATTAAGATGTGGCTTTCAACATTTCTTTATCCTAAAGAAGCGACACACTCATTGACTGGACACCGTCTCTGTGCTGAACACTGGGCTGGGTATGAGAGACATGAAGATGAATAAGACATTGTCCCTAACCTCAAGAAGCACAGTTAGGAAGGAAAAAACCCTGCTCAGCAAAGAAACTAAAACCACAGTATTGTATTTGCTGCTACTCAGGCTGACCCTGCCCACAGTGTACATCCGGGCGGACGCCTGCCAGTGGAAACTCAAGCCACATAGTTGGTTCCTGTTCTCTGGGCCCTGCTCTACTACGCTGTCTACTTGGCCAAGGGTATAAACAAAGCAATCCAGAGACTGTCTACAGGGCTAGAGGCTGGAGACCTGAAGCCACAAGGCGAAGACAAAAGAAAGGGCAGAGCTAAACTCAGATCCCTAGCTCAGAGCGTGTTTCCACCACATCCTCAGGTGTTTCCTGGTCTTTAAGAGTCTTACACCCTGATGGAAAGGGGTTTAGGAAGAAGGAAACATAGGCAAGACATTTGTTGATTCTGACAAGACAGTCCTGTAACAGTGCTGCACACAGAACTCTACTGCTGCCTCCACATGTCCACCATGAGTAAAATGGCACACCTAGAAGGTGGCTGTCCACTAGGATATCTCTTCTGGGGCCTGATGCACGTGGAGAAAGCAGATCTGTGCTCGATGCTTTTGCTAGCACACACCTCCTCTGACTTCAGAGCAAAACACTGCTTTCCTAAGGACATGAAAGTTTCTCCCAAGTTTATCAGACCCTGAAATGCCATTCTTCTGGCCCGGTTCACAAGAGCACAGTTCAAACTGTTCACATAGTTTTTTCAAAAAAACAAAAAACAAAACTGTGTTGCCTACACCTTGACACATGAAAGAATCCAGTGACACTTCTGCCTCAAAAAAATTTATCAGATGAGGTCCAGGCTTGGAACACAGAGTAGTCAACTGGTCCTCTGTGAGGCATGAAATGGAATGTGTTTGAAATCTAAACAACTGGCATCACTGGCGTCAGCTAATGGTGACACCTACTGGTGTCAGCTTTTCTCTTGGCTTTCCCATCCACCAAGACAGGAAGCCTGATATAAACAGAACCCTGCTCTGTTCCCTGCTCTCCTTCCACTTTCCCAAGGACAGCAGACTGTGGCAGCATCATTTAACTCAGTTTCCCAAATACTTTTTACCCAGGATATCTCATCCCCTGTTTTCCTCTCCCCAAACAAAGTCCCCAAGTTGTCCGGGATGGTCTTGGTTATGGGAACTGTCATTTTCTGCTACAGGAGGAAGGAAAGTAGGTGGGCAGTTAAAGAAGAGACATGGACTCATGGACCTTTACATGGAGGAATGATGGATTAAGAGGGTAGTGAGATGTGAGCATGATGAGCTCCTCCAGAGAAAGGTAGGAGAAGAAAATCCAGAAGTCTTCAGTTTGGTCCTAGCTCTGCCACTACTGAGGAACAGGACTCTGGGCAAGTCACTCAGTGGCCCAAGAGCTAGTTAAGATGCTCACTCATGTCTCCTTCAACTTGAAGAGTCTACCACCCTACCCACCTCCCAATCCTTTTGGCAGCAGCCAATGCAAAAGTTCCTGTAACCTATGTCTCCTCTCAGTCAAAGCAAAGAACAGAGGTGTGCAAATGTTGCTTGGTGCTCTTCTACCCTTCCCTGTAGGAGGAAGTCACCCAGAGGACTTTCAGGGATCTCCAGGCAGCTCAAGATCCAAATGGTTAAGATTCAGCCAGATGTGGGTTCAAAGTTTGGCTCTCACACTATGCTTATTAACTGTGGTAACTTCAGTAGTAACTAAACTTCTCTGAGCTCTTAACATCAATGTTATTCTCTGAGTCATTACTGCTGGGCATGAAAGACCATTCAATAAGGAGCACTTTGCATTCAATGAGAGACCATTCAATAAAGAGCACTGTGCATTCACGTAGAACTATTTCTCAGAACAGTAGAGCTCACTGGCAATGTGGGCTGCTCCAGACACATAAAGAATAGAAAAAGGAACTGGAGAGAATGCAATGGAAAGTTCAAATATGAAAAATTCTCAGCACTCTTCATGCGTATCCTTTGCTTTTCTTCCAAGCATCTCCAAGGACTATACACAAATTACATTGTTTAGGCTAAGTCTCGAGTGGGAAGTTAATATCCCACCCCTCCCCTCCCCTCCTCAAGAGTGAATGAGAGAATAAACTGTGCCCTTCCTATGGGCGAGAGCTCTGTCTCCTTAATCCCCATCCCCTACTTCAAGAATGGGCACAGTGCTGGGCACACAAAGTTTTGGTGAATGAAACAATGGCTATGCAGCCTCTATGAAGGCAGAATGAGCTGGGGTGAATAATACTGAGTACCTGCTATGTGCTAGGCACTGTTCTAAATTCCTTACAAGAGGATGAAATGGGTAGTAAAAGAGAACTGAAGTCAAGAGAGGCTAAGTAACTTGCCTGAGGCCACCAGGAAGCTAGCTAATTCATCTGACTCCAGAGTCTGAGCTTTTACCTAATAAACTAGAACATCCTTGGTTTAAGTTATACTTCTTCACTTGCTTTTAATACTTGAGATGCTTAAATAAATCCACTAAAATCCCCAAACACAATCAACATTTTGTCTTTGACGGAAAAGATAAGGTCCCTGCCCTTAAGGAGCTCTTTGACTCTGGGAACATTTTCTACTTGGCAGTGAGGAGGGGCAACATGCTTGGGGCTCCTCCCTTCTTTGCTTGAAAGGTCATTATTTTCACACACTAATTTTCTGAAAAGTAAAATGGTGTTTCATCTTATTGTGGAACATGGGGCCTTCACCCAATTCCTTCAACATTTATTAAGTACCTACCCTGCACCAGCACTTAGATAGCAGTGGGGAACACAATGAGCAAATAAAAGGTGAAAAGTGGGACTTCCCTGGCGGACAAGAGGTTAAGAATCCACCTCCCAAGGCAGGGGACACAGGTTCAACCCTTGGTCTGAAGATTTCACATGCTGTGGGAAACTGAGCCCATGCACTACAACTACTGAATCTACACTCTAGAGCCTGTGAGCCACAGCTGCTGAGCCTGCCTGCTGCAGCTACTTAACTCGGAGCACCCTAGAGCCCGTGCTCTGAAACAAGAGAAGCCACTGCAATGAGAAATCTGTGTACCCCTAGAGAGTAGCCCCCACTTGCTACAACTAGAGAAAGCCTGCATGCAGCAATGAAGACCCAGCACAGCCCAAAACAAATAAACAAAATGTTAAAAAAATAAAACAAGCTTAAAAATAAATAAATAAATAAAGGCCAGAACACTCATGGTCTTTACCCTCATGGAGCTTAAAGTCTAATGAAAGATGATAAAGTAATCATACAGATAAAACTGCAAGTAGGAAGGAAAAACACCTCATTTGGTAAGAGTTTACAACAGATAAGAACTAGAAACTAGCTAAGGAGGTCCAGACAGCTGTGAGAAAGGTAAGCCTGAACTGAGATTGCCAGGATGGTTAAAAAGTTAGTAACCAAGGAAGAGGGGTGGGAAGAACAAAGGAAACAGTACAAGGAAAGTCCTTTAGCTAGGAGATGGTTGAAAAAGTAGGTAGGGAGTTAAGAAGGTGGGGATAAGATGAGATGTGCATTTTAAAGATACTTCTCAGCAATGGTCCATTTGCACAAACTCCTGGCCCCAAAATACAAAAAATGCAGACTTGTTAAAAAGGAACTTTGAGTGAATAGCACATGATCTTATGCTGAGGTCTTTCACCTCAGAATAACTGTGGTGATGACCCTCAAAATTCTCATTTGTTATAGGTGTGACTTCTGGTAGCACAGTGACCAGCTGCTCTAAGAAACAGGGCACCAAACAAAAAGCACAGGCAGGAAGAACCCAGT